GGTATGTGAGTTGGAATTAATTGAGATAGAGGTAATCGAAATGAACATCTCGAGAAAAGAAAAAATGGAATCCAGAGAGTACGGCTTGATGTATTGAAGAACATGTTTTTAGGTACAAAATTGAATATCTCCTGAATTAATCATCTCAGTCAGCCCATGTTCAATCCGTAACATTTCGTTGCCAAGAAGAAACTCCAAATTTCTCGCAATTGAAATATTTCAGGAACTAATGAGCCCTTCAGCCCTTCTTCAATAGCAAAAATTTCAATCCCAGTCGGAAACTTAATGCCAAATTTCAAATTGATGAATTATTTGTTCACAAGGTTACCGTGCTAACAAATTTTTTTAGTAAAAAATAGAAAAATTCGAATACTGAGATAGAGTAAACCGAGATAAATATTTATAGAGGTGAAAAATTGGAATCAGTTCGATAGTTTCCCAGATACTTGTGAAAAACGGTTCAGAATCAATAACAATTAAAAAAAACAAGACCGATCGAGCTGAATTTTGACACAGACTTAGTCCTTATTAATAACTATAATTTGACAAAATTTCACGCAATAATCTTAGTCGTTATGTGAGAAATTTCACAATAAAAAAATATATAATAATTATAAGAAGGACAAAAAAAAGAGAATTATTATTTCACGGGGAATAAAATAATTAACCCTGTAAATAAATAGTTATCGAGAGAAAATAAGGCTCGAGGTTTGATTTGAAATAAAAGACAAAATCGAGGCAGAAGGTTGGAAAAGAGACGGATAACTTTTGAGCAAAGTGTTGAAAAAAATTTAAGACTTGGTGAACAAAATTTCGTAGGGAATTAGCCCAATTATGGATTTTTCTCTGAGCGCATGAGATTTGTCGTAAGGGGTAAGTGGGGGTTTACCTCTCTACAAAGGAAGTGATATTAAAATGGCTTAAACCAGAAATGAAGATAGGGAATCAGAGAATCGATAGTAAAGATTAGCAATAAGGGGAAAACCTTCCATCTGAGTGCAAGAGGTAAATTGTTAGTTGAAATCGAGAGGTTTCGAAAAACTTGGAGAGCTCGCTGGAGTGGGAGCAGGAGACCACCAGGAGAGAGAGAGATAATGGCGAATTACAGAATAGCCACCTAGGCTTCCGCGGTCACTTACAGAAGGCGAACACAATCAACGTGCTGTTTATAAGTCAAGGAGTGCTACAGAGTTGATGAAAAGGACAACAGTAGCGCAAGTGATAGCTTACCGCAGGCCTGGGAAAAGTGCGCTCTCTGTGCTCACCTAGCTCCGTATTTCAGGAATTAAATGTTCAGCAAGTAACAGTCTTACTTGAATTAAAAAAATTTTTTACCTTAAAAAAGCATGGAAACAAGAAATTTGAATTCCATCATTTCATGTTTTGTTAATTTTTTATCATTATATCGATCTCACTGTTAAATCTTTGAAAATTCATCCATTTCTAGTTAAACACGAAAATGGGCATACTTTAAGAGTATTGTAAGCTGACATTTTTTTATTTATATATGAAATTATGAGATGTCAAGTTTATAAGTTGAGCTTTAAATTCATAATTAATTGATTAAATTTTGAAAAACTGACAACTCTTTTTTTTTTCAATTTAGAATAAAATAATTATTCAATATTAAGGTGATTAAGAAATAATCAATTTCTGGCACCCTGATGTTTTAATAATTACACCTGGTTCAACTAAGAATTTTTCAGGATGAATTGGTCAAAATTTGGTGGCATTTTTCGGCGGTAAGGTTTTTTAAACTTCGAGGAATAGCGCGCGGCGCTCTCGGTCTAGCTGCGCCCCTCTTCGTGCACGCTGCTACCCCCACTCCTACTACACTGGGCCTCACGCAATTGGGGTATTGTATTCCGAGCAATGGGTCTAATAGAGTTTTATGGCCGTGGCTCCCGAGATTCCGACTTTGCCCATGTCTGGCTTACCGGTTTCTCTAGCGATGTTCGTATTTACGGCCGAATCCTAGAGGTCTATGCTTAGAATTACTTGTAGACGGATCCTGAAGATCTATCATTAGAATCACCGAAAAAGTAGTGAAGGAGGAGGTCGCGATCGCAAGGGAAAACCGCTCTTGGGGTGAGAACTCTCTCTCTCATATTTTGGAGAACAACTGATGCTCGTTCGATAATGGCGACGCCGATTGTCCGTATCACAGGGTTAAAATAATAAAGCGGTCGATAATGTTGATCAATCAAATAAGAAGAAACTAAACTAAACTAAAAGAAAATAAGAAGAACGGTCGATAAGGCAGAAAATACCAATGGTCGGTAAGCCAATGTTTTGGAAGAAGTTGAAAGGAGGATTTACGTGAACAATTTAAATAGGGATTTGAATTGATCAGAATTTGAATGGTTAGTTTGAAGTAAAGAAAGGAGAAAATATTCGTAACAGATTTAACAATTTTTGTAATATGTTTTGTTTATAAAATATTTGATGAAATAAAAATTTTGATAAGAATTGGTTCATTAATAAGGAAAATGAAGGAACAATAATCTCTATGATGAGTGATTAGCTGATTAGCTAATGACTTATCAATTACTAATTAATCATTATTAATTGTCACTCATCACTGAGACATTCGTTTTTATGAAATAAAAATAATGAGGAATAATTAATAAAACACCATTAATGACACCAGGAAGCCAGACAGAACAAGGAAACGGACGACTCGATAAAATCTGGGAAACTCGGGGGATTGAGGATTTTAAAAGAAAAATCGATTTTAGTCAATTTGAATAATTTTGAGACATGAAATTCCGGAAAGATAATTTGATTAGAAAATGGGAAGAAAATTATTAATTTGCGAACGCGTTGAACTTATACTGTGATCTTCAAAAATTTGGGCTCTAGAGTCAGGAGTCTAGACACCAAGCAACAAGTACCACAAAATTAACATAGGGGAAAATAATTTTCAAAATGTTAAGTTCGTTACAGTTATTTCTTTAATTTTCTAAAGGAGTGGACAAAGTTGACCATGCACACATACATGAAGCTGAAATTTTGTATTTTTACGTTTTCAGACCATTCTACATCATTTCCAAGTAAAAATAGAAAATTCGAAAGTCGGACGATTACAAAGCGTCCGTTCGGAAGTAAAAATGACTAACAAAGAAAAAAAAAAGTTATAAAATTGCCATTGGTCAAACTTTTCGTCCCGTTTCTAAAACATCATCATCATTTTGCCATACGTTATATCAAAACAGTATGAAACTTGTCGAGATAATTGAGACATTACAAGTGCGACGGCTGAGAAGCTCTAAGTACGTCAGGTTTGGACGATATACGATGAAGGTAAGATTAAGTTTGAGACAAAGTAAAATTCAGCATTTTAAAATGATTAATTTATTAATTGAACTTTTGGAACGACAATATAACGAAGAGTCATTCAACTTAAGAATTACATTTTACCAATAAAATTTTTTTTTCATCATTTTTTAATAGGAGAAGCCAGCTTCTACTCGGTCTGATAAAATAGTCTTTAGAGTGAGATAAAGCAAACAAAAAGACAAGGTGAAAGCTTGTGCTTCACCACAAATTAATTAACAAATTTAATAT